CTTTTTCAAGAACAGCTCTGACAGAACGATGGCTTGCCCAAGGTCATCCAGCAGCTGCAAGTGGAGGAGCGGGGAATCAAACCCGGTTCTCCCAGATTAGAGTCTGCGCACTTAACCACTACACCAAACTGGCTGTATGCAGCATAAAGTGAATAGCAGAACTACGCAACCATTTGGGAGCCTCCAGTGAAGCTCAGGGATGCGAGGCAGTAAAGGAATAGTAACTGATTTCTCAAAACAGTAATTGCTAGCTGGTCCTCATAATGGGGGGGGGGTGGTTGAGAGGGCAGCTCTTGGCCGTGGGTGCCCCCTCTGTGGCCAGATCGGCCGATCCCCTCAAGTCTTGATTTCTTGACCTAAATCCCTTCCTTCTTTTCAATCCTTCCGTGAAGGGTACTGCGCATCCTCTGGGAGAACTTCAGAGAGGAGGCCAAGATCATGAAGGACGTTCCGGGATGGACGGTGCGGCCCTTGGAATGCTTTCGGAAACGGGAATGTAGTAGCCAGGGGAGGTTTCCCGCTTATTCTGTAGCCCCGCCCCCCCCCGGCTTCCCTCTGCAAGCCACACCTGGGGTTGCCAGTCTCCAGATGGGGCCTGGGGATATCCCGCTTTTACAACTGATCTCCCCTGGAGAAAACGGCTGCTTTGAAGGGTGGACTCTATGGCCTTGTACCCTCCTGAGGCCCCTCCCCTCTCCTGGATCCACCCCCAAAGTCTCCAGGTATTTTCCAACCCAGGGCTGGCAACCCTCGCCTCATCCTACTCGTTTCCTTTAGGATGCTCCTACAGGACATAGCCCAGGGGGTCCCCAACATTTTTGAGCCTGTGGGCAACTTTGGAATTGTGGGCGCAACCACAAAATGGCTGCCGTGGGGGTAGAGCCACACACCTGCACACACAGGAAATCCAAATGCTGGGAAGAAGATGGGTAATTTTAAAACAATACACTGGGAAAGAAACATGAGAGAGAGAGAGAGAATTAAGTCAACACTGTGGTGGGAGTTAGTTATACAACAGATCAAACCATGCATAAATAACAAAAATTATGTATTCAACGTTCAATGAGTATGATATTCTTAAACCTATATAAATAATGTAGTTGTTCCAAAATACAATACGGTAGTCAAAAACACACGGTCCATATATGTTCAACATTCAATGAGTATGATATTCTTAAACCTATATAAATAATGTAGTTGTTCCAAAATACAATACGGTAGTCAAAAACACACGGTCCATATATGTTCAACATTCAATGAGTATGATATTCTTAAACCTATATAAATAATGTAGTTGTGGGCCATGTGTGTCATAAAATGTAATGCCAGGTAGCGGAGATGTAAACTTTATAAAGGGCACAAACACAAAGGTTTTTTTTTAATACTTAAAATAAAGACATGCTTAAAACATTAGCACTCTTGCGATATTTTGTTTATTTAGCAGTGTCTGATAACTGACACCTCTTGCTCTGAATTATTCCATCAAAATGTCTGTGCCGTTGCAATCTTGAGTATGCTGTTCAGGTGTGTATCTGTAAGCCGCAAATCTACGCTGATGCAGCAGCAGCAGAACTGGAAGAAGAAGCAGAAGACAGCCAGTTCCACTGCAGGCCTGATAGAAGCCCTCCGGGGGTCTGATATGGCCCCCGGGCGGCATGTTTGACACCCCTGTTCTAAACCTATAAAAAATAGTGTAGTTTTTCAAAAATACAGTGTGATAACTCAGAAACTCATACATGGTCCAAATACACAAACAATGCTATTAATCCACCTTCGGAAATAGTCCAAGTCAAATTCCTCAAACAGTGAAAAGCCCAAATATTGAATAGGATTGTTTGTGTAATTGGACCATGTATCTTTGAGTTTCTGATGTAGGATTGTTTGTGTATTTGGACCATGTATCTTTGAGTTTCTGACAATCACATTGTATTTTCCAAAAACTACACTATTTTATACAGGTTTAAGAATATCACACTCATTGAATGTTGAATATATATTTTTCGTTACTTATGCACGGTTTGATCTTTGGTATCTTTTGCATCACTTAACTCCCTTCTGCGCTTCTCTGCTGTTTGGGTTCCTCAACACTGTGGTGGAAGCTGCCGCCGGAAGAATGTCGTTTTAATCTGCACAGCCGATCAAATCTCCAGTGGCCAGTCACCACCCCTGCTGGACAAGAGTCCCATTTGGCACCAAGCCGTTTTAAAAAACACTTGGCGGGTGCCCTGGTTCTCGACTGGGAGCTGCAATGCCACCTCTGGCCACAGGCAGTGGGGGTGCTGAAGAGCAAAGCACCAGCTCTCTTGTCTAGGCCTGTTTTCTCCATAGTTTTTCAAGTGACCAGGGCCAGGGAAGCAAGTCTAGACAAGAGAGCTGGTGCCTTGCTCTTCAGCACCCCCACTGCCTGTGGCCAGAGGTGGCATTGCAGCTCCCAGTCGAGCAGGAACAAAATGAAACCAGGAAGCAACCGTGTTCCTCCTGCCCTAGTGACACCTCAGCCTGTGAAATCTGTGGTTTTGCCGGGGACTGAGATGCTTCCCGGGTTGATTACCGGTCAGGTTAATCTTCACTTGAATCCAGTCCGTCAGCCGTAACACCTTTTTCTCCTCCCTCGCAGGTGGCCGAGTCTCGCTTCAACACCACGCGCTGGGTGCCCCCCACCCCTGAAGAGCTGTACTTTTTGCGCCCCTGGAGTGAGCTGGACAACGCCAAATTCGGGTGTCAGTTTTATACATGAGCGGGGAGAGCTCTGTGGGAGCGGCACCCCTTGCCTTCCCAAAAATAGCATATTTGTTAATAAATGTCGGTGGAAACGATCTCGCTGTGTCCCTTACATTCCGGTCACCCTCCCCCTGGTGAAGAAGGAGTCACGAACTGCGGGAAGACATCCTAGGGGGGATGGTCTGGGCCTCTTCCTTCCAGCCGAGCTCCAAAAATTGTCATTTTTAATCAGGGATCATTTCGTAGAAAAAGAGGTGCAGGAGCTCATTAGCATAACTCATTAGCATAACTGATTTGCATATGCCACACACCCCTGACGTCACCGGAAGTGTGTCAGAAGGCAGCACCCACCGCTCAGGCTCCACTGGACTGTTTTGGATTGCTAGCTATTGGGAGGGGGAGAACGTGCAGATCTGTCCTCGCAGAGGAGGGAGAGCTTGTACCTGAATGAAACTTGGTCTTAAAGGTGCCACTGGACTGTTTTGGACTGGGGGGCCGTGGGGAGCTCTGCAACTTACCTGGCTGCTTCTTGCTCTGACGGAGGGCTGCTGGAAGCAGGGGGCGGGGCTTGTTGCATGTGCCCGCCCCCTGGGCCCTTTACTGCCAGACCTCTGCTCCTGTGCGCTCCTGCAGGAAAGGACTCCTGGTTTCTTCAGTCTGATTTTGGCAGGGGCCCGTCTGGCGCAGTGAAGACATGCCATCCCTCCACCACCAGCTGGACTGCTCCACTGCCGTTTCACGTGGTCTGCGTAGGGTTGGGGATAACCGGCAGGGGTGGGGGAAGGAACGTGACAGCCTCTGTGGCTGGAGACAGGGCGAGGGCCCTTCTAGCGCACACCCGGTCCGAGGTCATCCCATTGTCCAAGGGGAACCTAGGGCATTGCCCACGGAGAAGAAACCGAAATGTACCGGCCCACTTTCGCTAAATCGCGTCCCTGGTTTTAATCGGGAACGCGAGGCTCCTGGCCTATGTAACGGAATGCATTCCTCCGAGCAAGTGCAGAACGTCTTCCCCATCGGCGCTGGAAGAGTCCAAGGAGACGGCACGTTTTCTGCTAAGAGTTCCTGTGACTTCAACCACAACCTTTCCACTTGGAATTTTCTTTGGGGTCAAGGGAAGTCCACTTTAAACGGGAAGTGACATCACCTCACCATCAGCGTAGGGATACCCTGGTAGAACTTTGCCTCGTCTCTCGGAGCGTCCCCGTGCCACTGGCGATGGGACGACCTCGGACCCGGTGCACGCTCGAAGGGCCCTCACCCTGTCTCCAGCCACAGAGGCGGTCGCGTTCCTCCCCCCGCCCCTGCAGACCACGTGAAACAGCAGTGGAGCAGTCCGGCTGGTGGGGGAGGGGTGGCATGTCTTCACAAATGTTCTCTCTAAGCTGTGGAGTCCTGTGAGCAAAAATTCTACTTTGTGAGCTACCGGCATTCAGACCACGTGAAACAGCAGTGGAGCAGTCCGGCTGGTGGGGGAGGGGTGGCATGTCTTCACCAATGTTCCCTCTAAGCTGTGGAGTCCTGTGAGCAAAAATTCTACTTTGTGAGCTACCGGCATCAAAGTTGTGAGTGAGAGATTTGGCTACTGCATAAATCAGTTTGCTCTGGAGCCCTCCTTCGTGGGCTAAGAGAAAAATGTGTGAGCTGGAGGCTAAAAAACTGTGAGCTAGCTCACACAAACTCAGCTTAGAGGGAACACTGGTCTTCACTGCGCCAGACGGGCCCCTGCCAAAACCA